GGCCCGTCGGGGCGAATCTTTCCCGGCGCGCGCGGGCCCGTCTTTCGTTTGTCTGGCCATGTCTTCTGCGCGGGCGAGCTCGCCGCCGCCGCGGTGGCCCCCGCGCCCGCGTTCGCGCTGAGGAGCTTTTCCCGCGTCAGAGCGCCATTTGTTCAAATCTTTGCTGAAGAGCGCCGTCGCCACCGAGGCAGCCCTCCGTGGGAACGCGCCCCGCGCTCACTTCTTTCGTGAGTTTTGCAGTGGACTTGGCCGACGGTTGGTTGGGCCCCAGGCGCGCGATGGCCCGCCGAGAAGATTCGCACGCGGCCAATGCAATTCAGATGATGTGAAGGATATTGCTGGCAACGGAGGTGCGGACTGGCGGGCCAACCTCGGAGCCCGCGCTCGCGAGTTTGACCAGCGCGCGCGTGATGCGATACAGCGCGCTTGGAGTCAATGCAAGACCCTCAGCAGCGTCATTGGTCAGATCTTGGCGAGTGGCCCGTTGCAGCAGAGTTGCGCCCTGAGCTCAGAGTGGGGGGCGTGGGCCCGCGTTTTGCGAATCGGTGTTCTAGATGCCCGCGCGTTCCTTACTGGCTCGGGGAAGCGTGGAGATGCGCTTGCTGTTTCCGTCGCGCGTCGGCCAAATCTCGTGTCGAATGCAAGAGCCTGGGCCCTGGCGTTCCGGGGTCCCCCGGGCAACCTGGGCACTTGGAATGCGAATTCCGTGCGGGCCCTGCCTCGCGGTTCCCTTTTTCCCCAGATTCTAAGATGGGGTTGCTGTTATTACTTGGACGCCTCCTCCTCCTCCTTTTCCTCTTCCTCCTGCCTAGACTTACTCGTACACAGACTTACTCATACTCAGACAGGATCATATCGATTTACTCATACTCATACCTACTCATATTCAGACCTACGCATACTCGTACCTACTCATATTCAGACCGACTCATACTCAGACTTACTCATGCTGAGACTTCTTCATACCCAGACTTACTCATACTCGGACCTTCTCATTGCCTGACTTACCCAATACACAGTAGGTTGTGAGGATGTCTCGGGCGGGGCGCTGGTTTCAGCACCCCAAAAGGGAACCGCCGAGGGGTATGGCACGGTCCCGTTCGCGGCCGTTTTGTGGGGATGTTTCAAGCGGTTCGCAGGCTTTTTTGTCCCAGCATGTTTCGCTTGGGGAACAGATTCTGAGGATGTCTCAGGCGGGGCGCTGGTTTCACCACCGCTAAACGGAGCCGCCGAAGGGTATTGCATGGTCCCGGTCGCGGCCGTTGTGTGGGGATGTCTCAAGCGGTTTGCTTGTTTTCTGTTCCAGCATCCATCGCTTGGGGAGCAGAGTGTGAGGATGTCTCAGGCGGGGCGCTGGTTTCAGCACCCCAAAGGGGAGCCGCCGAGGGGTGTTGCACGGTTCCGTTTGCGGCCGTTGTGTGGGGGGGATGTCTCAAACGGTTTGCGGGCTTTTTTGTTCCAACATCTTTCGTTTGGAGAGCAGATTGTGAGGATGTCTCAGGCGGGGCGTTGGCTTCACCACCGCTAAGGGGCGCCGCCGAGGGGTATTGCATGGTCCCGTTCGCAGCCGTTTTGTGGGGATGTCTCAAGCGGTTTGCTTGTTGTCTGTTCCAGCACCCTTCGCTTGGAGAGCAGAATGCGAAGATGTCTCAGGCGGGGCGCTGGTTTCAGCGACCTAAGGAGAACCGCCGAGGGGTATTGCACGGTCCCGTTCGCCGCCGTTTTGTGGAGATGTCTCAAGCGGCTTGCGGGCTTCTTTGTCCCAGCATCTTTCGTTTGGAGAACAGATTGTGAGGATGTCTGAGGCGGGGCGCTGGCTTCGTACGGCGGTCAAGGACATGTGACCATGTGTTGCTGGTTCAGAGATTGTGTCACCGTGTTTTTTTCATGCCCCCCGTGGTGTTTTCCAATCTTGTCGTCGTCAGCGGGAGAGGGAATTTGAGAAGGTTAATTTTCCCACGTGCGGTTTGGGTTGGGGAGGGAACTCGAAAAGGTTCACTGCGTAGCTGCGGGAGAGGGAACTTGAAAAAGTTCACTTTCCCGCTTGTGGCTCATATGGTTCATATGGCTAAACGTTCATTTAAATATCCCAAATACACGACTACCTTTTTTAAAAAGGATGCACACATGGGGAGCTCCACGCAGTGAGTAATTCTTTTCTCGTGTTCAGTGCGGGGGATTTCCGACGGAAAACGCGCTCAGACGCAGTGGGCGGTGTCTACCGAACCGCGCGTGCAAGGATTTCCGCGCCCTCCTCTGCGGCCGCATCGCAGGAATCGTACAGCTCCTTCGACCGCCCCACCGCCCTAGGAAGCGCGGGCTACAAGAGCGTCGTAGACTTTGCGCGCGGAGAGGCCATGGGGGGGGGGCCGAGGAACCGCGGGGGGGTGGGCAGGAGGGTCGAATCGTAAACGCTGGTTTGATTGCACATGCACTGGCGGAGTGGCGTTTTCCCCGGTCAAACTGGTTTATTCCCCGGTTGTTTTTTCTCGTGCGTGAGGACATCTTTCTCGTCGCAGAGAGGCATCGTTCAGGCCTGTCGGAGGCTTCT